ATAAATGCAAAGACTTGAATACTCACTTCATACAAGATTTTTCAAACAACTTTCCCCTTTCTTTCTACTCATCTCATCATTTGCTATGGATAGCAGAATTATGCATCAGTGAGAGCTCAGCTGAGAAAATCACAGTGCTAGCCCACCAGCATCGCACATTCTGATGGAGGAGGCCCATGCACAGGGTGTTGGGACTACTTGCTTTATGGAAAGTCACTGTCTTTACTGTAAATTCCCTGTGGAGACAAAGCACCAAAATATCCCTCTTTGCATTGGTATATTGGATGACACCTCCCAGAAATACGAAATTTGGCAAGAAAGTAATCATGGTCAATACCTTTAATCTCTCAACCAGGTTTTTGTATCAACTTGGAATTCTCCACTGCTGCAATTATCTTCCTTGACAGTTGGTCAGTGTTATTGTCCAGAAAGGAAAGATACCTCAATTGAGACATTCCCAGATGCCCAAGGACAAGAATTATGACATGTCTAAAGTAGTTGAGTCAAAGTTCTCAGAGAGAGAGAGAGCAAGCATATCCTTGATTCTCTGCTGTCAGATAGGAATGTGCTGTCCCAATGTCTTTAAAGCATGCCTATTCTTCATTGTGAGTCTACTAACAAGAGATACATGTCTAAAAGTTGCCATCGAGCACTGCGCCCTCCATGTCTGCTCATGGTTTTGCTCCTATGGCTTTGGACCCTTGTGTTGCCATGGTAAGTGGCTCAGCTCCTTATTGCTTGCTCTAGGAATGTGCTTTTGTTCCGTGAAAGAAATTTCTTCATCATCATTTCAAGGCTCCTGAAGGAGAAGAGATTTTAGAATGGAAGAGAAAGCTAGAAGAAGAAGAAGCATGGAGAAGTTAGAAGTAGAACAGGATTATTAGAGTAGAAGCAGACCAAATTAGAGCATTTGAAATAAAGAGCATGACCCTCAGACTGTATGTGGCATTACTGTCGAAATCTTTTACCACCTTTTTTGCTCCTGAGAAGCATTTCAACTTTGGGACCCTGGATAAGGGCTGGGGCAGGACTCATCAATCATTGTCCTCTGTGATAAACATGTTTTAATGTTTTTCATTACTTAACATTTCCTTTCTCTCAAATCTAGTCTGACTTAATTTTTAATACATTATCTTTCTTTGTAGCCCTGGATATACTGGAACTCACTATGTAGAATACATTTGACCTCAAACTCAGACATCCCATGCCTCTTTCTTCTGACTGGTGAGGTCAAAGATGTGTGTCTCTGCACATGACATTTATTTCTATAATTCATTTAGTACATTGTGTAAGTCAACACTCAACTCACTTCAGTCAGTTCTCTCCTTCAAATATGTGGTACCCCAATAAAAAATGTAGGTCACTAATGTTGCCAACAAGTACTTTATCCCATTGAGTTCTCTACTCAGCTCTCTGTCATTCTTCAAAGCAAGTTTGGAAAGACATTTGCATTTTTGTTTGACATTTCATATATTTTCTATAGACAAGGTCTCACCCTGTAGCCTAGCCTTTCTTGGAACTCACTCTGTAATTCAGATGGGCCTTGAACTCCAGGGCATCCTCTTCCTTCAACCTGTAAGTTTGAAGGATTAAAGCATCTGTTACTAAGCTCTGCTTGTTTTTCATTTCTTTCTTTAACTTAAAAAAGATTCATTTATTTTTTAAATTATGTGTACTGTTGTTTTGCCTACATATATGTCTCTGCAATACATTGATTCAGTATGTTAAGGATTCCAAAAGAGGGCAACATATCTCCTGTAACTTGAGTTAAAGAGGTTGTTGATCTCAGTGTAGGTTCTGGAAATTGAATCTAAGTCCTCTAGAAGAGCCAGTGCTCTTAATTGCTGACCCATCACTCTATTCCACCTCTCCAATTTCTTTAGTTTTTTTGTTGCTTCTATGGAGCAATTTTCAGCTAATATTTGGAGAGACAGATTCTGCAGGAAGACAGAGTCTACCTGGAACCTCATTCTTTGGAGGGAGAACTATGGTTAGAAGGTAAAATAAAATGTAAAAGAATAGTTACATTATTTTAAAAGTTTAAGTATAAATTAAGGGATTATATTCATCAATGCATCGAGACACATCATTTTTCAAGAATATAAATATTATACATATGGTTGGACTGCTTGAATCATTCTTCATTGAAACATTTATTATTTCTAATATATTGCTATTATTATAAGAATAGGTCAAAGGCAAATTACATTGACATACGGCCACATAAGATACCTCCTTGTGTTAATATTTAGAAGTAGATTGTTGAATCTAATGAAAAACATTCAAAAGAAAGAAAATTCTCTTCTCGTCCCAAACTGTACTAGGAATGCCAGGAAATTAAACCTTCTTTTGCTGCTTTATGCTTGCTGATTCAGCAGAGTTAGAGTAGCATTCATCAATACCACTGTTAAATGCCCAACTTGGCCACACTTCATGGTTCTTCTCTGTAAAGGAATTCCATAGAAAATGGCTAAGTAGTCCACAAGCTACCATGTTTTCTCTGCTACTCACCTATTATCCTGCCAAAAGAGCACTGGGGTTATACACATAAGCCATGACATCTGGAGTGTGTGTGTGTGTGTGTGTGTGTGTGTGTGTGTGTGTGTGTGGGTGTGTGTGGTTGTTTTTTGTGTGTATGTGTATTCTGGAAATATGAATGGAATTTCTCGTTTGTAAAGCAAGCAGTTTATACACTGAACAGCCTCCCCATACCCAGAATATGATAATTAAATGCAGTAACAAACCTGGAATTTCTGTCTAAAAACCAGGAGGTAATGCCTATTTAATCTTTAATTCGACATACTAGCCCAACAGATTGTTCTCATAAAATTTCAGAGTTGTTGACAGTCTGTGGTAGTGCACACCTTTAATCCCAGCACTTGGTAGGTAGAGGCAGTGAATTTGATGCCAGCTTGGTCTACAAAATGAGTTGCAGGACAGCCAGGGCTACATGGAGAAACCCTGTCTCAACAAAAGCAAAACCAATAATTCCAGAGGCATCATTATATCCCCACACAAACAATCATGAGTACATCTCTAGGGACATCTCTGATCCTTGAAAGGATTTGTTTCATTCACGTTCAGCACAGAAAAAGAATCATTAAATACCCAGCCAACATTTTTCTGTTTTCATCACTTTTTCTGGGGACGTGTCAATTGAATCAGTAGCTGAAATTTATTAGTTGCAGTGAAGTTAATGCTTTTAACTTTTGAGATAGTTTCCTCATTCTGGTAGCTCTTGGAACCATTGTAGCCTTCCCTGTGGTGTGACAATTGATTACAAAGTCTGCACACTCAAGCATCTCCTTCAAATGTGTATTCCAACTGCCAGTCATCCTCCAATGCCAGCCCTCTCCCATGATCATTCCCTGGATCTATTTACGTTTTGTTACCAATTCTATATATTCGCTTGGTAATCTTCATCAGTGAGTCCTTCTTTTCATTCCATATTTTGTTACTTGAAGTACTGTCTATACTGTGAAGGTGGGAGAAGTGAGAAATGATTATTTTTTCCTGTATTATACAATTTGCCAAGTGCTCAGAGAGTGATTCTATAGTGAAGTTTTTCTTCTTATTTTCCTTCCCTTGATGCTTTACTCACACTGTCATTGAGAACCTGGATTCATTTCAGTGCCATTCCCAGGACAGCCTCTCCCTGAAGATATCTCAGCCTCTGGCAGACAGTCCTCACGTGGGTTGGTCCTCAAGCTGTATCAGTCATTATTTGGCCACTTCCATATGTTCCTCGGCACCATTGTTTCAATGTATCTTGTGAGCAGGACAGGTGGCAGGCTTTGGGGCAGGATTGATGTCCAAATCCCACAACTGGTACCTTACCTGGGTTACAGAAGATGGTTCAGGATCCATATCCTCCGAAACTAGGATTCCTTGCTAGGATCACCCTCATAGATTCCAGGAAGTTTATACTGCCCTCAGTATCCAAATCACCCTAAATGTTCACCCATTTTAGTCATCTCTCTCCACACTCTCCTCTCTTTTCCTTCCTCTCCCATCTGATATCTGGAGCTGCCATCCCCTACCTGCACATGGTCCACCCACAAAATCCATCCTATTTCCCCTTCCCACGAGAACCATTTATCCCTCGTAGATCTCTTCTCTTTTGGTAACATCTCTGGTTCTGGGATTATAGTGTGATAATCCATTACTCAACAGCTTATATCTATTTATAAGTTAGAACATATTCTATTTGTCTTTCTGGGTCTAAGTTGCCTTCTCAGAATGATTTTTTTCTAGTTTCTCCCATATGTTTACAGATATCATGTCATTTTGTCTAATAGTCATATGATACTACATGGTGTAAATATATCACATTTCTTACACCATTCTTCTGTTGAGGGATATCTAGCTTGTTTACTCTTTCTAGCTATTAAGAATAAAGCCAATAGGAACATAGAAATTGGGTGCATTTTGGGTATATATCCAAAAGCAGTATAGCCGGATTTCGAGGTAAACTGATCACTATCATTCTGAGGAACTGCCATGTTTATTTCCCTAGTGTCTGCACATGTTTGAAGTCTCATCCGAGGACTTTTCACCTTGGTCCACATCTTGCCAGCATGAGCCAAAATAAATATCTGGCTTTTTTAATCAAAAAAGAATTTTAAATATTCTTCTCTCATACATTACATCCAAAAGGGAACTTCCCCGCCATCCTCCTCTCTAGGTTCTTCTCTTGAACACCCTGCTCCTCCCACAGACATGCAGTGGTTAACTTTTGGACTGAAGGAGACAATGTTGATTGAAAATCCCATCCTCATAGAAGGTCATCTAAAGCACTATAATCCATATAGCGCTGTATCTTAGTTATCTCTGTTACTGTGATGTTCTTCATGAAAACAATGTATTAGGAGGAAACTTTGTGGATATTCTGCATCTACTCTGAAGGTTCATATTCTGTGTGTTCACAGACCAGAAATTAGTAGAATAAATGGAAATGGAGGTACAGACAGCACAGCTTTCAGAATCCCCGGACTACACAATCAGAGTGTTGTCTGAGGATAAGAGGTACAGCAGAGCCTGAGAAGGGAAGCATAGTGTCTGATGAGCAGAAAGGGACAGAAGGCTGGGAAGCAAGCAGTCATAGCAACACACGCATTGGACAGCCACCTATTGGTTGCCTCAAGCAAAGCCAGGTAAGACGTAAAGACAATAGAAGTTACATAGAAGAACGCAAAGCTGCTCACTAGAATGAGGATGCTTTGGGTTGCTCTGGTCTCAGGGGATGCCCTAGGAAACTGGGATTTGTGGATGTGTTGGACCCTCTGCTTGTGTTTGAGCAGGATAAACACCATATAGCAACTGGCCCACATCATCAGTCCCAAAAACATGACATCATTGGATAACAATAGGATGACAATAAGTGTAATGCTTAGTCCTCCGTCGCTGATAATAACACAGTATCCAAAGTCTTTTATCCCAGTAACATTTCTTCCACCCCAAATGTCAGTTGTATATAAAGGAATGAAGATATACACCAAAAGCTGGAGGGCCCAGCACACACCCAGGGATGGAGCAATAATCCTCGGGGCTCTGACCTTGAGCTGTGCCAATCTGGAATTACTGGGGCTGATGGTGATGGCCTGAAAGACACTCAGCAGGGATGTGGAGCCAAGGGACACTCCTCTGCCAACTCTATGAAAATACAAGGCAAGTTTACATGAAACATAATCTAGATGGTAATTCTGACTGAAAGCAGCAGTGGTCTGCGGGATTCCTCTGCAGAGAACTATGAAGTTGGCCCAGGTCAGGTGTTTGACAATCAGGTCTGTGGGCTTCGCCCTAATTCCAGAGAAGTCAGCAACGATAAAACAACAAAGCAAGGCTAAGTTTCCCAAAATCCCCAGCACAGTCTGGGATAGGAAGAAGATCCCCAGTGCAAAGTCTCTGGTGGCCATTCTGTGGAAGTCCTGGGTCTCTGCACACCAAATCCAGAGGGTATGGCTTATGCATGTTAGACTATCTTCTTCCTAGCTTGTCAAATAAAGTACTCCATAGACACTACCACATTGCCTTCATAAGTAATGATAAAATTTGTTTTTCCGGTAAGTTTGCTAGGTTTCAATGAATTCCTATTGTTTGAATTACGGATAATTAATTGACACATTGTCATGAAAATTAAACATTATATTGTAATTAATAGTTGTGAGCAAAGCTTTGCAAGTAACAGCCATTGTAAAATCCACAATTGCACTGGTGAGTCTTGTATGATCAAACTGCACTCCGATGAGTATCCTGGGTGCAGATAATCACACCCACTGCAAGTTTCCAAGGTCACAGCAACTTGTAAAAGACAGAGACTTACCAGAAATGAAATTTTCTAAGACCAAGAAAAATAGTAACCCCTAACAGAAGTGCTACTGACAACTGAGTGCTACTAGGAAAGGGAGAAATGGCTTCCTCCAAAAATATGCCCTGAATAAGTTAACTACGCTGAAGTAGATGGCTACACAAGTGTGCTTTATGATTTAAAAAATAAATAGACCAAATGATGGCTTTGTATAGAATGATAGAGT